GGATCGGGCAGAATGCTGCCAATTAGGTGCTCTTAGGCTCACCCGAATAAACCTTTCCACAGAATGACCCAGTAGGAATGGTGGGACAAGTTCAGCTCCCGAAGGCGTCACCCTTTGTGTCCACTTAAGTACCATTCCAGCTTAGACAGTCATTCCGTACACGGTGTAGAGATCAGTATTAATATGAAAAATGCAACAAAGTGTATAAAAATATTTTCAAAAAGTTTTCCTACACAAAATATTCTGTACCAAACTCCAATCTCCCCACACTTAGGGTTGACCTCGCCCTCGAGGTCATTAAGCGATAAAACAAGAGTTTGGGACAGAGACCATTCTCAATTTTTTTCTTTTGAAAATGTTTTTTTTACAAAAATTTTATGCACAAAAGTTAGTCATTTCTTTTTTTTTGTTGAGTCAAAATGGTTCACCAGCATTCCTAATTCCAAGCTTCACCTGCACACACAAACACACAAAAACGCATAAAAAGGAAAAAGAAAAAAATAAAATTTATTTACTTGGGTTGCCTCCCAAGAAGCGCTTCTTTAATGTCACTAGCTTGACGTTGGCCCGTTTTTTACGGGACTTACCGATCCGAGAGTCATAAAGTTTGACCTTTTTGACTATCTTTTGATGCCACCTTTGTTTTGTTCTTTTCCAGTCAAAGTCCAGGATCTTTGACTCATTCCTGCAGCGTGGTGGCAACAGGAAAAATGGAGGAGACTCGTCTTGGATGGGTGGTGGTGTGAGTCTCCTTGGTTTATCAACATCATTGGCCTTAATCGCCAGTACATGACTTTCTAAGTCCCCAATGGGCTGACTTTCTGTTGGTGGCTCGATGATTAGGACAATTCTTTCCCCTGAGTCTTCAGTGATAGTTTCTATAGACGGAATGGGTTCAGCATCACAAGGTATTTTTTCGTCTATAGATTCGTCAGACTCATCAGTATCGGAATCAAGGGGGTCGGTGGTGGGCTCGGATTTCTCCAGAACAGGTTCCTCTAGAGAAGTGTCTTTAACACATGTTAGGAGGACAGGTTCCTCCAACGTTTCTAGTGCAGCTGGTGAAGGCGGTTCCGAGACAAGACCCTCGGTAGGCTTCACCTCTTGTACAATTTGACTTTTTGGGCTTTCAGGAAGCATCACCACTGTACCTCGTGCAATCATTTCTGCAAGTGTTATCTTATTTTCGATATACAATGGTGATGGAGTTTGTGGATATTCAAGAATTGAGACATTGTTGGATTCAGTTTCAGATTTTGTCTCAGATTCTTCGTCCTCTTCTAGAACAACAATTTCATCCATCTCTTCTTGTTGTTCCATAGCCTTATTAAAGTCCTCCAGCATCTTTTGCATATGCTCCCAATATTCGCGTTGTTCGTTATCTTTCTGGGTTTGGAGCAGTTGGCGTTCTTCTTGGACTGTTTTGAGAAATTGTTCTCTCGCCTGGATTGCATCTCTGTTTGCTTCAATTTGCTCTTCACGAGTCAGAGAGTAATCACGGCAATAGCGTGGTTCAAATAATGAACACTCCATTACTAATGCGAGGTCAAGATAAAGTATTCTTTTCTCAGTCCACAAAATCTCTTCAATAAGTGGATCTAGCTGGTCATCGTACATTGGCCCTTGTTCGTCATAATCATCTTGATCACCATGAGGTTCATAATAATCCTCACAGTTGTCTTGGTATGGAGAATATCCAAAGCTCCGAGACGGGGTATTGTATGGTGCTTCCTCATGGTATGGATAATAATCAGGTCCATTATTGACTGAGTAGTGATCATAATATGAATCCTGATGTGGATAATATGGTGGTGGTGATGGTGGATAGAAATTGGACTGTTGGGAAAATGATGGTGGATGGTTGGGTGGTTGGTAGAAAAGAGGTGGATCGTAGTAATCATCTCGAAAATTCATTTTTAATGATTACTACGGGTGGTTTGTGGAAAAAGAGGTGAGAAGATCGACCTAACCGGTCTTCACCCAAGCTAATTAAAAAAAATTAAACTAAAACCGTGCCACTCCCCGGCAACGGCGCCATTTGATGATTGAGTTTTTCGGTAAGTCAACTTTCCCAATGAAGGGTTAGTTTTCTCCAAGTGTCGTGTCTCTCGAGGAGTGGACGAAGGGAATTAGCTAATTTTTCTAACTAGACGAAGGTTAGGACGGGTCTGAAAGTCTTCTCGATTTGATTTGAAAATAATAATAAAAATAAACTACTGGATGTTTTTGAGAAAAAGAAAATAAATAGTACGGGTATAGGACTAGACTTCGGGCCAAGGCATCATCTGAGTTAACTACTGTTGTCACATATTTAATCAATAATTGGAATAATAATATTTCTGTCACAAATATTTCATTAACTTATCCTCTCTCAAGGTAACATTAATGTGTTCTAAAAAGTTTGGCTTAATTAATTTTATATCCTCATGGACAAGGCAAAAACTAATTTCCAATTATTAATTAATTTTTCTCTCGACATAACTAATTAATTTAACAATAAAAATAGTTCTAGAACATTTATTCCAACTATTAAATAAACATACAGAGTATATGCCCAAATTTAGCCAAGACCCTAATCTGGGTCCTAACCCATACTAAATATTAACAGTGCATAAAAGAAAGCATTTTATTAAAATTGCAAGTATTAAAACTTACAACA